AATAGAACTGTTATACAGCAGAAAAAACACCAAAAATCACTTTCAAGATCAACACATCATAGCAATTCTCTAAGCTTTTAAAGTACAAAACACACATTGCCATTTGGATACCAAGATGGGGTTTTTTTTGTTGTTTTGTTTTGCAGTTTGGGAATATGGAGTCTTAACTTTCATTTTCAGATGTGTTTCAGGATTCATTGCAAGCATGGAAAAGGAACTGATTTGATCAATTGAAGAGAAGGGTGACTGCAAAGTTCATGTTAGGAGAGAGATCACTTGGCCACATTCAGTGGCAATGCTACAGGGCTGTGGTCCAATTTGGCAGCAACAAACTTGACAAATACTGGTGCTGTATAAAGCAAAATGGCACAAGGAAAAAAAGTACACTTTGCGTAATTTCTTCAGTAAGAGACAGGAAAATTACATCTAAAGATAGAAAATCATTGATTTGTCCAAATTAATTAATTAAGGAAAAAACCTACCAATTTTGCAAGTTATGCATATTTAACACTTTCACTTGCCTCCAGTAATGTGTGGCTAAGTACAAATTAAATACAGATTAGCAGGTGAGCAAAATTAGAAGCATCTCCTCAATACCAAAGTAGTGTTTTGTTCACACAGGTTTCATCATACAAGAGAAGCATTCAGATACTCAAGTTCTAATAATTTTGATTTGAGTTTCCCCTCCTTTTGAAAGAACTTTCTTTGGCATTTTCCTAGGAGCAATAAATGTACACTGCTCTTCTAACTTTCACGCTGGGTTATGTCAGACAACCTTCCCCATGCCATGATGCAGGGGTAGCTTAAAGCTCCTCTATACCTTTGCACATTTGCTCTAATCATTTTCCACACATGGTAAGCAGCAAACTGTACAGATGCACAACATCCCTGTTCCTTTGCACAGGAGCTAGAAGCACTGGTTGACACACAGTCACTCAATGCACGCATACACAAAACCCAGTAGCCTTGGCAGTAGCTCATGGTGTGCTCTGTGTAAGCCAGAACAACTCATCTCCTTCAAGTAACTAAGAGGAGGAGAGAAGGAGCTGGCTTGGGACTGCTTTTATTCTGCATGGATTTAAGCAGTGATCTAACCTGTATTTTACAAGCACAAAATGAAATCCCACGTAACGCCATCAGTTCAATTCTACAACCCAGAACGTAGTTTAACAAGCACAATAATTGACTGCATATTTATAGGCTGATAAACTACTGCCAGTTAATAATCAGTTGTTGCTAATGGTTTATGCTTCCTTGAAGGTAGTATGGCTAACTGCTTAATTAAGGACTGCTATTAACAGCATCAGGCAAATAAACTTACTTACAAATAAAATGAACTTGTTAACAGCACAGTTCTCCTATTGCACAGTCATGAGAAGCTTCTTGAGAGTTACCTTTTAGACGTTTTGACGAGTTATTGTTTGGACAAAACACTTCATTTTCCATGCACAATATTTGTACTGCAGGGAATGGTAGTATGAAAAGATATTATGCTCAGTCCCCAGTACATTCTGGGGGACCTGAATTAGTCAGTTGCTAAGAGTTTAGTACAGAAAAAACTTTTTAAGAATTAAAACCATAAGTGATTTTTTTCTGATTTACAACAATAATATACTTATTATTGAGTGCATTGAGCTAGCCTTGTTGAGAATTTATGCCATTTGAAACTCCTGGTGTAATAACACTGGTGCTAATGGGAGTGATTTCCCATTCTACTAGCCAGGACTGCATTTTCTGGATAAAGATTTTTCAGGGCAGATCTCATGTTTTCCCCATACTGTTTTGGGGGTTTGTTAGTTTGGTTTCCAAAAGCAGTTATAGGTCACAGAACAGCAGGATGCTGCTCTGTGCATTGGGAAGGTCAGCAGATCTCTGAAAGGTACAACATTCTTGGTAAAGCTCAGAACCCTTGCTGACACTCTCCAAGACAAACAGATGACAAGGAGACAACAAGGAGACTGTCCCACTGAATGCTGCTTCAAATGAAGTATCTTCTTTAAGCAAAAAGAAAGAAACTGAAGATCACACACCATTCAAGTTAAGGTCTATCTCATTAATTGCTCTACTTAGCTGATTTGATAAGCTCTAAAGTCAGCCTTCTGTGCATCTTTCACTGGCTTGATCTACAAGACAGTAGAGTAATCTAATTATCAGCAGCAGTGCAAAGTCCCCATCACTGCAGCACTTCTATGACTCCTATTTATACAGAGGATTTGTAAATAGGCAAACTATAAAAAAGCACATTGCCACAAGAAGCACTGCTGGGATACAAAGCAGGCACGCATCAAGGGCTGCATTCACCCAGTACAGGAACCAGTCCTCCACTCTCCAATATTTCAGTCCTGTTCAATCAGTAATACAAACTGCATTCTTCAAGAGAACTCCAATGGGATTTGCATTACAAGTAACAAAAAGATTTTTTTTCCAAATAATTGCTATCCCCAAACAACATCAATAGATAAACCATGCAACAGAAGGCGAGCAGTAGTGCCAGATTCAAAAAAGAATGCTGTAAATGCCTGAAAATAAACTAGGGACTTTAAGAAAGCTCAGTGTATCAAAAGCATGTAAAGTGAAGAAACTACTTTTTAAAAGTTCAGCAGAACACTTATGGAAGTGTTTGAGATAATGTAAAGATTAAGTGCCCAGATATATAGTTTATCTCTGATTCAGAAGCGATAAACAATTAATTTGTAATTTGTACCAGGTCTAATTACAAGAAAATATTATTTTTTTTTTTACAAATACAGCATAGACTAAAATGATGCACTGCAGTACTTTTGAAAATAAGAACAAGAAACGGATTTTCTTTTTTCAAGCCAGTGCAGCTCTAATTGATCTCTATGTTTGCTATTTCATCTTAATTCTTTATTGGGAATACAAATCAGAAACAAGAAGCTTCAAACAGTTTTATGTGACTATGCAGTTTTGTCAGTAGATTTGCAATTCCTTTCCACTAAAAAGCATTTTGTGCGCAGAATATTCCAATACTTGTTTTAATCTCCATTTTCTCCCTCTCTAAGCCATTACAAAAGATTGGACAGCATAAAATGAGTTTTGCCATCAAAATTAGAGAAGTTATAGCTTTGTTTATCTGGGTTTTTATGCTAGCCTTGGTATGTTTTTAAAATAATTAATCTGAGAATAATACTGTCAGATTTGTATAACTCATAAAAACAATTTAAGTTAGTGAAATTAAACTATAAGATATTTGAGATGAGAATGATTCATTTTATTTGCTGTAAAAATACCTTAGCTAAGCACCGACGGGTTCAGAGCCTTATTCCGTAATTGTGTAAAGAAGAATTATGAATCTCTTTCTTTAGAGAACATTACAATGCTTGAAAGGGTACTGCTAGATGGTCTCTAAAATGAGACACTTTTATTATACCTTAGTGCACATATCACTGCTCTGCTATTTTAAAACAGAAAATACAAGTGAAATTTATTAATAGAGTCATTAACCATCTTTCTGGGGCTCCCAGATGATTAAATTTACAGAGTCAGTGCTAAGATGCACACACAAAACCTCCTCCAAACCTCCAGCAAGCTCCAACAGAACAGTAGAAGTGCTGGAAATATCACTGTTTTGTACAGGAAACTGGAAAGAACTCACACATTACATGCAAAAGACTCAATTTCTAGAACGAGGGAGAAGTGTACAGCACAGTCTGGAAATACAGGACCTTTGGCACACTGGCACTTGGCAAATCTCGAGCTTTTGTTCTTGCATTAATTCTCCTACGAGAGCAACGAGCAGTTAAATGTAATACATAATCAAGAGAGAGCTTGCTGTTGCTCATGGTCTGCAAACGTGCACACAGCCCTGCAGCCTGCACAAGGCCCTGCAACATAAACTATTCCCATAGGTAAGTGTGCTTATTATGAAGCCATTGAATACTCTAGGATTCCATGTTTTAATCTGGGAAGAAGCAGTACATCTGTAAGTGCGACTCGACTCTGAAATACCAAGAGAAAACTTAATATGTCTGTTGGTTACCTTGGCAGCTCAATGAGGTATATCTCTAAATTTCCTGGCAAAATAAGCAAGTTGTGGAAGAAGATTAAAAGACGACGTCCATTTAAGCTTTGGCCACTACTCTTGTATCTCTAATCCCATCCACTAGGGAAAGCTGTTTACTAACTTCTGGTTTCGGACTCAGAGGTCACTGATTAGCCTAGACATCCCTCAGCAGCTAAAAGAGCATATCACAGGGGAGGGGATGGGGACCACATCCATTCTTGTTCAAGTAGAAAGAGGAAAAAAAATGAATTTAAAAATAAGCACCTGTGAAAGCAGAAATACAGAAGGTATTTTCCAGATAGCAGCTCATAAAAGAACCGGACTTAGTTGGAAACCATTTGATAAATGTGGGGCTTAATTCCAAGAGATGGTTTATTTTCAAGTTATATTCATAATAAAAGTGGTAATTTGCTAATATTTAGAGGAGAAATGTAACAGAAGAAATGTATGCTGCTTTGGAGGAGCAAAGAGGCTTATTTTGCCTATATAAAATGAGTTTATGAAGTATTTTTAACTGAGTTATTTTAAGACATGCTGAGGAGTTGGCAGCCATGGAGAATTACTTAGCATAGATAAAGAGGCACGAAGCTTGAACAAAACAGGAATTACTGCATATCATGCTGGGCCTGAGGTTACTTTTTACCTCTTCTTGTCGTTTAGGGGCCAGTCATAAATGAGGGCACCACTGCAGTACTTTCCCGGCTTGTGCCATGTATTTGTCATGTATTTTTTATTTATTTTACAAAACCATTGCAAATTTGAGACTGTTATCAAATTCTACATTAAAAATTTAAAAAAAAAAAATTAAAACTAATTTTGCACTGGATGTAGTTAAAAAGAGGAAATTTGATACTCATTTTGTAAAATGAATAAAGACCGCAGCAGCACGAATGTGCTTATGATAGTTTCAAATGAAATAACATCAAAACCCCTGGAATTACACTGTGTACAACTTATAAGATGAAATCAGGCTTACCATGAACATAGTGCACAGCGTGATGCAGTTTTTGTGTCACAGCACGCAGGCCCTAGTAAAAACAAAGAAGAAATAGATTCAGTTTTTGGAAATGTAAATTATGTTTGGATACAGCAAATATGGAACCCAGAAAATACAGTCCAAACATTTAAAGCCATCTGATCTAATTTAGATCCAAATGGTTTTATTACATAAGCAATAAAATTAACCTCTTGCATTATTCCTCCAGCGCACTGGCTAGAAAGTGAGTTTTAAAAAAATCCAATATAACTGAAGAGTTAATTTGTCTACCTAAAGAAAAAGTATCCAAGTGCTTACGAAATGTAAACAACAGCCACTACGTTCGTTGCTTTTTATAATTATTCTGCAGCATTGAGTTTTCTAAGTCTTAAATAGAACAGATAACCTAGGTTTATCCTTAAGAATTATTTTGAAGGGAAAAAGGTCCAGTAAAGAAACATGTGAGCGAATCAGAGTACAACAAAGTTTACCTCAGTTATTTTTAGAGGATACGAAAGCAACCGTTTATTCCAAGAATTACATCAAGACAAACATCTAGATATCACTGCTTCACAAACTTCTCTACAGGATTACTATATTTTCAAGGAAGACGCTATTCAAAAACATCTGGAGATGGATGATTTTAAGTAAATAGAGACACAATAGTACACGTGTATTATATTTGCACTAAGACATAACTTGATAAGTACACAGCCTTGTTGAACAGACCATCTTCTCACAATCAGATAATTATTTCACTAAGCCACGAGGCTAACGCAGAGTTACATGCGATGACAGCCTTGGAACAGTTTCAAAAAGCATTCAGTACTGATTTCTTTCTCATCCTTTTTAAAGCACTATTGGAACAACACAAAATGATACACAAACTGAATATGCCACTGACAGCCAAAAAGTACTCAATTCCATGAGTACCAGTGTACTCCACACAAGTTCATGCTGGAAGTTGGATACTGAAAGGACAATAGAACTTATGTGAGAGTCAAGGCTAAGCTGGGGAGGTTTCATCATTAATGAAACTGAAATCTGGCCAACAAAAAGGCTGACACACCTGAAACAGCTGCTAGAGAAACTAATAACAACAAGTTGTCAAGGAATCGTTGCATCCCACACAAAAGGAAGTAGCTGCAGTAGCTCCAAGTCAACATACTTCTTCCACCACCTGGGCCATCAATATCACTTTTGCATTTATTACAGCGTTTTCTATTAGGGAAATACATGAAAACAGCTGAAAACTTAAAGCCTCAGTTTTCCGATTGTTTGCAGGTTACTGAAGCTAAACAAAAACAGAGCAGCTCCTTCATAAACCTCAGTTTGCGGATAACTCCACGAATCAAGCACAAATCAAAAAAAGGGAGATATATTAGGGGAAATATCTAAATGCAGCAACTTGAAAGTATAGCAAGTCTAAACAACTTCAGCAGAGATGGTGAAGATGCAAAGTAAACTGAGTGACTACTAAAGGAGAATCCCAGCTCAGAACTAAAAAGCAGCACAGACACAGTCATTGTATCAACAGAAATTCTCAGCTCTGTTTTGCCTATAGCACACTTCAGTGCATACAGTTTGAGGCCTAGGTTGCAAAAAGTGTCTTTCTGCCTATGGTACAGCTGTGTCACTAATCCTCCTGCTTGTGTTAAACTCACTGGTAAAGTACGTTCATTTGCGTGGCTTTGAGTATAAATTCAGAAGACAGTAAGCGCTAAAGTAGTAGAGGAATAAATTCAAATGTCTCAACAGTGTTTTCAGTATCATTTCTTTGGCTTTGGCAAGGCAGCATTCTCAATATTGGGAAAGATAACAAAACCATGGCCATGCTATAAATCCCAGAGTAATCAATGCAAGTTTTAAAACGCACTGTTACTTTCACGAGGAATTATGTAAGGCCCCATCAGATCAGTATTTCTTTACGCTTTTATCTGGCATTTCCAGAGTTTTGGAAAATTGTATCTGTTAAAGGTCACGCAGACTGTTCTTAAGCTCCCTCAGTGTGCTCTTAGAAAGCCAGTCACTCATGAGAAAAGTTACTTTCTTAGAAAGTTTATTGTTAAACAAAATCCTTTGTACTTCATATTTATTTATTTTTTTTTTTCCCTGAACAGCTTAATCCTTTGCTGGAGCAGAAATAGAGAATGCTAGCAATCATGCATTTCTCCACACTCAGCTGAAGAAATGAATAACCATACACAAATTGATAAACAAAGAATTTGATATAGAAAAAACAGTTTACCAGTTTTAAGAACATTTTGATGAGGGAAAGGTTTCATCTTTCTTGGTCTAACTGAAGATTTAGACTGAAGTTGCAACTGAAGAAAGCATTGCAACTTCCAATTTATTCAGGATCCTAAGGAACTGCAAGTCCAACAAAGCTGAGGTGACAAAGGCAGACTTGGTCAAAAAAACCAGTTTCTCATAAGAGAATAGATTCCATCCGTGGAAATAACAACACAAGAGTTTGCACTCTTCAACTTCTGGAAGGGAGGTTGTGATGAGGAGGGCTTCGGCCTCTTCTCCCAGGCAACAAACAGGACCTGAAGAAAGACTGCAAGCCGTACCTGAGGAGGTTTAGGTTAGACACAAGGAAGAACTTTTTCTCTTAGAGTGGTCAGGCACTGGAATGGCTGCACAGGGAGGTGGTGGAGTTGCCAGCCCTGGCAGTGCTCAAGAAGAGTCTGGATGAGGAGCTATGAGATGTGGTTTAGTGCTTGTGGCAGTAATGGTGATGGGAGGACAGTTGGACTAGATCATCTTGCAGGTCGTTTTCAACCTTGTGATTCTATGATTCTAAGACAGTTTTCAATATGTATTAAAGGATTCTTTTAAAGGAAAGAGACTTTCAATTTCATCTCAGATGCTCACTTACTGCCAGATGTCTTGAAGAGATGTAACAATTTCATTTCTTTTTACAGTTACTTCTCTACATTTTGTAAAGATGCTTAAGCAGCCCAAAGTAAGATATAAGTGTTACAACCAATTCCAGCCAGCTAAGCTGAGCCCAGAAATCTTACTGACCCAGGAACCTTACTCATACACTGACCCAATACCGCTCCTTACAAATCATGCAAGAGCAGAACCGCCATGGCTCCAATTTTAACAAAGTAAGCTGAGGATGAAAGAGACTGGTTGTGGGACTCAGATATATCAGCTGGATATTCCTCACACCAAGTAAAACTTGAAAAATACTGCATGTTGCCTTTTTATGAGACTCAGCACATCTGCTAGGCTTGCTTGTTCGCCCACTGTACCACACCCAGCACTAACTTCATCTCAACAGCATTTTCATCCATTTTCAGCAGTGCAAGTTCAAGGGTTGTTTTTGTTGTTGTTGTTGTTTGTTTGCTTTTTAAACACGAATAAAAGTTCAGACAAACAGAGCCTGCAAGTATTTTTGGTCTCTTAAGTTCATTTGTAAAGTTGCTGTTAAACACATCTTGAACTCAGTCTTGGAGATGCTTTCATATTGCTAAGACTGCATGCATTTAGTATTCTGTGGCAACTTATGAACAGCACTCAATAGGTTTATTTTTAGTAAGTGCACCTCATTCACACATTTTGTAGTGCTGCATGGGGATCGCTGATCTGTATGCATGACTGCAGTGATAAGATCTGGCAACATTCTTTAATAACTGTTTAAACTGTTCTCATCGTGTGCTTCAAGCAACATACAATTATTCCAACACCTAAAAAGAGCTCTTTCCACTTGCAGGATTTTCCACTACTCAATATGTGCACCCCTGCCATCTGATAGTTAAGATTTTCCATTATGTCCTTGATTTGATTGACTCCTTTATAGGCAGTGGACAGATATGCACACATTGCTTGTATGAGATAGCTTAAATGGTAATTACAAAGGCTGTAATGAAAAATTATTATTTTGCTGCACAAATCCATGAAGATCAGCCTAAAAATCTGCATCACTACATAAATGAAAGTATATTGGTAGAGACAAGCTTAAAATTCAATAGATGACATCAGTATTTTGCATAGTACTGTACACAGCCAAAATTGATACAGTAGCTTAGGTCAGAGCTGCCTTGTATTTTCCAATTTACAAGTTCCAGTAAATTGCATTCACTGCAGCATCACTGAATTTCTTTCCACTTGATCTCTGAATTGCCTAGAATGATGCTGCTGTACTACAAACAATAACATCCCTTAAGAGAAACAAAGTCGAATTTGTTGAAGTAATCATGAACGATGATTTTGAATCAACATTAATGCTTTTATTAATATAAAAGAAAGCAGAACTTTGGGTGGAGCAGGGACAAATGAAACAGTCACCTACATGAGCCATGGCCCCAGGAGGAGAGATCTCCTGACAACTCATGCTCCCATCCCATGTGGTAGAACAGACCCCAAATGCACACTCTGCTTGGCCCTCATATCCTAGGGCAACTATTACTGATGTTTGAACATTGAATGAATGACACTCTAGACAAGGTAAATGGTTAAAAAAAAATTCCCATTTTCCTGAAGCGGATGCTGTAAGCATATACTATATGAAGTACAAGGGCTATGGCATGAGCCAAAATTCCAAAACACTGCATGTGCAGTTCCAAAATGGAATCACATTTGGAGGTCAGGAAAGACAACAGGAAAGATAAGCCACGCTGATGTCAGGGAAACAGGTTATCGTAGAAAGAAGATGCATTGTTCTTCTTGGTTTTGCTTTTGTTTCTTAATGAAATGGTCATTACCAGGCAAATTGTGCCCCTTTCACCCAATGATACAGACCTCTACTACACCTTCAATTTTTTCCATCTTCCATAAATATATTATTATCCCAAGTTTAGCTTACAATGAGAAATGTACTCAAATCCTGGAGAAAGATGAGATACAAGTAATTATAGCATTACAAAACAAAACTGACAGCCTGTGTGTTAGCTCAATATGTCAAAAAGACAGGCAGTAGAGCCTCTCAGTAAGTAGCTGTGTACATCTACTGTCATCTCTCATCAGGTGAAGAACTGAAAAATCAGCAAGTGCTGTGTTTCCTCACTCTATTCTGTGAATCGAGGATGCTGTTCTAAAGAG